CTGTGTCAACCCATTTTTCTCTGACTTTCTATCTTTCCCAGTATGTCATTTTCCAAGGACTTGTTGTTATACAACGTCGAATCATCTCCGACTAATAGTGACCCTACATACAACAGCTCTGAAGCCTGCCCTATCCTGAGCTAATCAACCAAACCCCAATACCCTAACTACGTGAAATGAAGTTTCAACACTTTGCTCCTAAGGAGCAACCTGGTTCCACTTTCTGCAAAACAGATTTGAGCTTTTAATAGTCCATGGACTATTCCATATTCTTCATCAACTCCACAATTTAAGGGCAACAATTCTTTTTATCTTTATTTATTGTCCAATTTTCAGATAACATAGGAAACGAGTGAAAATGCCAAGGTTTGGATCAGGACTTTAAACTGATATCCTTGTTCTTTAGAACTTTGGAGAAGTCCCTAAACAACAGATTTTGTCCAGTGCAACATGTATTTGGATTTTTGACTGCTGTTACTATGGGTATTGAGCGTGGATCCAAGTAAAACGAAATTATTTAACTTCAGTCTTATCTCCATCTACTGTGATACAGCTCTATTAAAGATTTTAATGATTTGTACTAAAGAACACTTGTTGCTGTTGTTATGTGCCATCGAGTTGCCTACGACCCATAGCAACCCTATGTACAACAGCCCTCAACCCTGCTCTATCCCTTGCCAATCTTGTCTCTGACACACTTATCCCCATTACCCCAGTCACTGAATCAATCCATCTCATTGAGGGTCTTCCTCTCCTGCGGTGTCCCTCCACCCTGCTAAGCATGACATCCCTCTCCAAGGACTGATTCCGCCTTGCAATATATCCAAAGTATGTCAGATGAAGCTTCAGAATCCTTGCTTCCAACAAGCAACCTGGCTTCATCCTCTCTAGGATGAACCTGTTTGTTCTCTTAGCAGTCCATTCAATACTCTTCTCTAGCACCACAGCTCAAAGGCCTCAACTCTCTTTTATCATCCCTAGTCAATGTCTACCTCTCTGATGCAAAGTAATTGCAAAGACCAGGGCCTGTATCAAGCGCACCTTAGTCTCTAGACTGACATCGTTGCTCTTCAGTACTTTGGCGAAGTCTCTGAGAGCAGAATATGTCAACGAAATTCGCCTTTTTAATTTCCTGGCTGCTGTTGATTGTACAGTCAAGCAAACTGAAACTGTCAACAATCTCAATTTCTTCATCATCTATCACGATGCTGCCAATTGGCCCAGTGGTGAGAATCTCTGTTTTCTTGATATTGAGCTTTAATCCATATTGAAGGCTGCAGTCCTTGACTTTCTGCAGCAAGCACTTCAGGTCCTCCTCAGTTTCAGCAAGCAGGGTTGTGTCGTCTGCACTGTTGATGAGTCTACCTCCAATCCTTATGCCACACTTCTCATAGAGCCCAGCCTCAAGTACACTATGTACTAAAATCTTTTAAAAAAGTGTTAAACTACATTGAAATGAACACTAAGTTAAAAAGCCACGTGTTAAAATACAAGTCTTAGAAAAACCAAGCCATTTTAAAATACATTACAAATACTATATCTATTTCCTTCATTAATTATGAGAATATAACATATTCATCACTCACTTTAAAAAAACCTGTCTGTGAATCAATTTTGACTCATATTGACCCCACGTACAGAACTGCTCTATAGAGTTTCCTTGGCTATAATCTTTATGGGAGCAAATCACCAGGCCTTTCTTCTGAGGTATTGCAGTTGAGTTGGACTGCCAACTTTTAGGTTTGCAGCTTATTGCAAACTGCTTGGGCAACCTAAGGACTTATTCGTGGTGTTGTTCGCAACCTTATAAGCAACAAATAAAAAACCATGTCCTGTCCTGCCACATCCTCATGATCTCCACTATGCTCAAGTCCATTGCTGTACTCAATGTGCCAATATATTTCACTGAGTCATCTCTTTTGCTAATCCTTTATTTTCCCAAACATAATGTCTCTTTCCAAGGACTGGTGCCTTTTAGTAATATGTCCAAAATATCCCTGCCTCTGAGGATAAGTAATTCTGGCTGTACTTCCTCCCAGACAGAGTTGCTTGTTCTTTTGGTAATCCATGGTATATTCAATAAGCTTACCAACATTACAATTCAAAAGCATCAATTCTTCTTTGGTCTTATTTATTCATTGTCTAAACTTTTACATGTAACTGAAGTAATGCAAAATGCCATAGGATTTGGGGAAGGTACACCTTAGTCTTTAAGCTGACTTCCTTGTCTCTGATGCTACTCCAATCTAAATTTCTTCTGAAAGCCTCATATATTATTTAAAGTCAAATTTAGCTAGTTTCTCTCTGCATTAGTAATGTCATTGCTGATTAGAAGAAATAATAAAAGATAAATCTCCCCTACTCCTTAACATTTAAAATATAAATAAATAAAAACCCAAGCCCCCAGATTATTAAGGGAATCTATCACTAGCAATTTCTTCATAATAAAAGATATTAGGGCGCTCTGGTGGCCTAGTGGCAAGAAGCTGTACTACAATCCCAGAGGTGCGCAGTTTGAATCCACGAGACGTTTTGCTGGAAAAAGAGGGACAATCTCCTCCAGTACCAGTCAGATCCGATTTGACGGTACAAACATAATAAAAGATATTATAATATATAGGCTCCTTATGTTAGGTAACCTAGAAATGAACTCCAGAAGTAGAATGAGAGATTAATTTAATACTGAACAAAAGAATGATCCACTATTCAGTGGTGTTATAAAATACACAGGATGGGCTTACTAAAAAAATAAAAATTCTTTTCAAATCAGATTTAGTACATACAAAAATAAATAAACAATGGTAAACGATTTATCCCCCTTCTAGAAGGCTTAGTCAGTCTTCAATAGTTAAATATATTGCAAATTAAGAGTTTAGTATATTGGCTAATATTGGCAGGCATAGAGACATACGTATGTAAACAGGAGAAACAAAAAAGAATTTATTTCCCTTCTTTAATGAAGTTATCAATGACCACTATCATTACATAAAACCCCTAGTTTTTCTTTCTAACAATCACCAACTGCCAAGAAACGCTAATAAGCCTAAACATAAGAAAGCTGCCACTATCATAAGAGACTAGTAAGAATGTAGAAACTCAAAGTAAGCAACAGATCCAAAATCTGTGGTAAAGATTTCTACATTCATAGAAAAAAATCAGTGCAGACAATAAATGTTCAAATAACCTCAAACTGACTTTTAGCAAGCCATTCTAATTTACAGGTCATGTTCAATATGCTTAAAAGAATTGATAATTTTCAAACTAATAAAAAAATTGAAACAGAAAAGCAAAACCAGTAAACAAAACTTTATATAACAGAAAGTTATAGAAATTTAGGCATTCCTCTCACTCTACGATGATCTTTTATTTTAGTTGAACAAACATTTAACTCAAATGTGAGGTTAAAAGAGAAAAAGAAACAAGCAAAGAAACAAAGAGGGTCAACTATCAGGTAAAGTTTAGCTGGAGCATTAACCTACCTGATTTTGTCAAGAAATTACCTATGTCAAAATGTATTTTGTTTACCTAACATGGTCATGTATAATGTAAAAAAATAATAATTATTCAGAGTTTTCTACACACTTAAAGATTCCAGTTTAAGAATACAGTACTTGAAAAACAAGGAACTTACGAAATATTATACCAAATGGGTGACCCTGGAGGACATTACGCTGAGTGAAATATCTCAGTCACTTAAGGACAAATACTGCATAATGCCACTGTTATAAAACAAGACTGACAGGGGTTAGGGGGAAACTAAGAGAAGAGGGGATAAAGAATGTATACTGCATTGAAACAGATGAGAGAAAAAAAATCTTAAAAGGAATATATAACTAGGTATTATTTGCATGACAACAGTCTAGAATAAGAGCTGCATAGTAAAGTAGACTGGGGTGGGCGTGGGGAATTGTACAACAATGAAAGAAATTTTTTTCCCCCCTAAAGACAAAAGCAAACTGGTGGGGGTGGGCAGGGAGGAGAATCTCTATAAAGTTCTTTAAAATCTCAATTAAAAAAAGAGCTGAATTTTGGGATAAAAAAAATGTATATTGAAAAGCTATAATTTCAGATGAAAGAATTATTTAAAAGGAATATATGATTAGGCATTTTCTGTATGACAACAGTCGAGAACAAGAGGTGCATTGTCAAGTGAACTAGGAGAGGGTTGGTGGGAGTAGGGAGGAAACTGTGCAATAAGGAATGAAATTTTTTTTTAAATAAAATTTTAATTGTGATTTTAACAAACATTTACAGAGAAGTCAGATTTTTATTCATTCATTGTTGCACATTTTTACCCCTCCCCCAGATCACTTCTTCTTTTTAATATTCATTCACTGTTGCACAATTACCCCACCTCCAGTCCTCTTTGCAATGATACCTCTTATTCTGGGCTGTTGTTGTGCTGAGTAAAATATCTCAGTCCTAAAAGCACCACTGTTATAAAGCAGGTCTGACATTAGGGGCTTGTGAGGAGAATAGGATAAGAGTTGATAGATAATGACCACTGCATTGGAATAGATAAGAGAATTTTTTTTTAAAGTTAACTGGGAGAGGGAGGAACATGTGCAATAATAAATGAATGAAACTCCAACTTTTCTGTAAACTTTAGTTAAAATCACAATTTAATAAAAAAGAAAAGCTGTCGTTTTTAATATTATATTTACCAAACATCCTGTTGGAAAGCTCTATGCTCAACTTCTACCACCCAAGTAACAATGCCAACAGCAGCCCATTTCTCAGCTTCCTAAGCAAGGCCAGCCATGACAGGAGGCTGTCAGGTTCCACAGAGTACGTTAAAACTCATAGTGACTCTAGTATAACAGAAAAGAGCACTATTGAGTCCCCTGTAATCCTCTCCACTTGTTGCTGGCTTGAGACCATTGCTGCAGCCACTGTGTCACAATCCATCTTGTTAAGTGTCTTTTAGGAAATGATAGAAGTTTCTGGGCATAAAAAAAAAAATCAATATTCCTAGAAATTGTTTAAATAGGATACCTTACCAAAAGGAGGTAGTCCATATGTTTGGGTTGCCTGAGGGTAGACCGCGTAGGGTTGAGACTGTTGTAGGGTCTGGTACTGAGTCTGCCCAGGGTAAGCAGTTTCTGAAACAGGAACTGAGAGGATATGTGCATATGGTCTAGAAAAAGTCCAAAGAAACAAAAATCTTTAGGTGTAATATATTTCAGTAATAAGAAACAGGTAAAATGGCTCAGCACTAACAGCAAAGAATCAGTAAAACAAAGATTGACCCAGCCCATAAAACTGTTCCTGCTATGGTTTACAAAGCAGAACTCTTTCATGTTTTACTATTGCCTAATGAACAATGTTATAGCAAGTTTTAAGAATTTCAAAGATCTTCCCAAGCCAAAACCCTATAAACATCTGTAGTATGATACCACACACACAGGACCTATGTGAGACACAAGTATGAACTGGATTTGTTTACACCTTTATGCCCGCATATGGAATAAAATTCTAAGTAACAAGAAATTGGATAGAATGGACAGAACAGGACTGACAATTGACTCGCTCCTTATTTAGTTTCTGGGAAAAATGAAAATTTGGAGACAAAATGAGATTTTGAAAGGAGGGCAAGCCTAGTGAAAAAAAAAGGTAAGCAGTTTCAAATAGGGTTAGGGTTAGGCCTCAATTTTCCCAGATTAAGTTTATAATGCAGGAGCCAGGTCACCAGGAAAATCCCAGAACTTTTCCCCTATTACTTAAGCACACTACTGGGAGTTAGTGTTAACCACATCAGGGATACTAGGGATAAAAATTCAGCAGTGACATCCTAGACTTTAAGCTGATTATGTGTGCTAACATTTTTATGTGCTAAGTTTTGGACTTCAGTGGTTTTATATGGTGGGCTATGCTGACATTATAATGCAATAAAGAATAAGCTATGTGTGTAATATGAGAGATAACAACAAAACACTGTGGGAGGTGGTTAGTGTTAGTTCTAGGAGGAAAAAGATTTTTTTCCCCACAGCTTGAGGCAGAATGAAGGAAAGCTTTAAAGAAGTGGTATGTGAGTCAAACAGATAGGATATACAGAAATGAGAATAAGAGGGTGTTTGAGGAAAAGAGAAAGGCCTTATAGATGGGGGAAGGACTCCTTAGCAAAGGTAGAGAAGCAAGCAAGCAAAGGCTTCAGTCTGCAAGAAGCACAGATTAGGAGAGGAAGTTACAAAACAAAGTAGAAAGAACAAAGAGATCTTGAATATTAGGCTAGAAGAGTTTAGATAACTCTGAAACTAGGAGCCACTGAAATATCTGAGTAAAGAGTGACAAGATCAGAACTTTAAGGAATATTAATTTGACATTGCTTAAAAGAATAATTATGCAGGAAATAAATGGAAATGAAGGCCCAATTAAAAAACAATGTAATATAATGGTCTATGTGATAAATGGTAAAGAGGGTCTGAATTGAAAAGATATAAATTATAAGATGTCCTAAATATATAAGTATATAGATATTGTTTTAATGAATGAATGAATGAGTACATTTATAGTTTATAACATACTGAATAAATTTTAAGTAAATTAATTTGGAAATATTTGTTTTCCTTAGCCAGATCAAGTAAAGAAAATAGGTTGCAGTTTTAACTTTATTCACATGAGAACAATTTAAGAGTCTTAGTCACCTTAAATGAATTTAAGCTCCATATATGTTAAAGATTGCAATATCCTTGTTCATACAGTATCAATATAGCTTACTTTCATATCTGTTAGGAATCCCTTCATGATAATTCCACAGAGATAGCACAGCCATTTCACAGAAGAATAAGCCATATGAAAGTTATCTCAAGGACACTATTAGTGTTAATACCAGATTAGAATGTGGAGAACATAGCGAGTTGATGTTTTAACTTTTTTTTTAAAATGGTGTGAAAATCACTCAATACAAATGGATTGAAAAAGGAAACATACCAGCTTCCTTTCCATTCTGGCCCTCTAGCACTCCTCATTCTTGCCGACAATTTCTTTTATGCATACTCCACACAGAAGCAAGTTAAATATGTATCACAGCTTAATCACATTTGTATACATATAGATTTGCTGTGTTGCACACAGGGCCACTGAGATCAGATTTGACATGATGATACCTAAGAACATGTATAAGAAGCCTTGGTGGCACAGTGATCAAAGCGTTCACCTGCAAACCACAAGGTCACCCATCAGGCACTGCATGGGAAAAAGACGTGGCAGTCTACTCCCTTAAGGATTTCTAGCCTTGGAATCACTCTGAGATAGTTCTAGTCTGTCCAATTAGGCTATGGCAAGCTGACTTGGCAATGGGTTTGGTTTGAGTCTGTAAGCATGTATAGACCCAATCTTTACAGATGCAAAATTGTAGTATGGTATCCAAACTATTCCGCCCTTAGAACATGGCTGACTCAATGTGCTCATTTATCCCATGAAGATCCAAAATACTGTCTCCTAAATGACTTTAAGCCACCAAATCCATCCTAACTTAAGCCCAGTCCTACTTTCTGGACATCTTTCAAATAAGAACTTGATGCTAGCTTGAACTATTTATCTCAGTAGAAGGAAGAATTATCAAAAGTCAATAGGTTGGAAATCCAAAGTCTCTGTAAACTTTCATTTAAAAAAAAGTCAATAGGCATGTTTTGATCACTAACACCATTTTGCATTTCAATGCCTACTCATTTGGTGTGAAATCTTGGGTAATACTGATCTATTCCAGGCAACCATCAGCTTTTTATAGGGAGGTTACAGAGACTTTATATAAAGGGAATAAAAAGTAGGGATACAGAGAACAAGGGAGGTGAAAAGAAATTAAATCTCAAATAAAAACTTCCAAAGAGCCTAGAGAAAGAACATACAGATTTTGGAAATAATTATTCCACTTACTTTGCAGAATACATTTGTGAGGTATAATCATTGGATGAGCGAGGGATGTAATCGGTGCATGTCATAACTGAAAGAAAGATAATATGACCAGGTAAAAAAAGTTAGAACAGTTAAAAAATGAAATGGGAAAAATTGCATATCTCATTGAATAGTTTTTCAAATGAAATAACAAAATAAAGCTCAGACACTGGAAATTTACATTATGTAAATGAGAAAAGATTTAAACTGTCAATGGATTTATCTTACTTGGATTCACAATCAATAATCTTTGTACCAAGAATTCAAAAGATGTGTTGCCCTGGGAAAATCTGCCATCAAGGACCTCTCCAAAGTGCTGAAGAGCAATGATGTCATTTCAAAGACTAAGGCACATCTGATTCAAGACAAGCTCTTTTCAATAATTTGCTATGCATCTGAAAGTTGGACAGTGAGTAAGGATAAGAGGAGGAGAAGACTCAATGCCTTTGAGTTGTGGTGTTGGAGAAAAGTACCGAATAACCCATGGACTGCCAAAAGAATAAACAAATATGTCTTGGAGAAAGTACAGCCAGAGTGCTCCTTAGAGGCAAGGATGGCTGAGCTTCATCTCACATGCTTTGGGCATATTGTTAGGAGGAGCCAGTCGTTGGGAAAGGACATCATGTTTGGAAAGGTGTAGGGTCAGCCTAAGAAAAGGCAGCCTTCAGCAAGATAGATTAACATGTGATTGTAACAATAGGCTCAAGTATTATCAGAGATGGTGAGGACGGCATAGGGTAGGGCAGGGTTCAGACCCATGGTTCAAAGGGTCTCTAGCAATAACATGGATTAGACAGTACCACACTAATAACCTACAAGTAGACTTTGAGACAGTAGAGGGTAAACTGCAGGAGACAGTGGAAAGAGCTGCAGCACTATGCTCCAGTATATTAATTTTTTGAGTGCTATGAGGAAAGCATGAATGATTTGGAGGAAGACAGATTTAGGATCAATACCCCATCTTGTTGGAAAATGACACCTACTGTTATGAAATAATTAACAGCAGAAGAGATGCACATACAATTTTATTTTTTAAGCATGCCAGTAAAAGCACTGTTTAGGTTTGGCAAAGCAGAGAAAAACCTCAGAAACAGATGTGATGCTCTGACAAAGCATGAAGTAAAGAGACTTTCCCTGCTAACATCCTCTTGATCCCCATGATTTCAACAAGTATAGTTGCTGTGAAGGTTTGACTCTCATGATTTCATCTAAGATAAATATTGTAAGAATTCCATTGAAGTTTGACAGGTAACAAAATCTTACTCGCTAGGCACTATTTCAGTTTATCTTGTAGAAGGAGTTATATCATAGTGAGTGTGCACCAAGATTCCAGAAATATTTAAGAATTTCCTTCAACATTGAGAAAGAAGCTCATTTTACTATAAATAGGAACTAGGAATATATACAGCTAAGTTGCCTAAAAGAACGCCTGGCCCTAAGAGCAAATGAAGGGTCAATTCACATCCAACAGTGACGTCAACAACACCTATAGGTTCATCACAGGCAATGCTGCTCCATGCTACTGTCCTGGCTCTCTGGAAAGAACTACTAAACACTTGCAGATTACATTAACTGATAATAATCTGGAAAGAAGGAAGATCTCAAAGAGATCTTCTCATCCATGGCAAAGTTCTTCCCGAGCATCACAAAGAATGCATAGAAAGTGCGTTTGAATTTGCTGGTGATAGGTATTTTTAAAAATTCAAAATTCTAGTACTTACTTTACTTGGTTCCATAGTCAACACTCTTGGTAACAGCAGCCAGGAAACCAACAGACGAATTGCGTTGGGAAAGTCAGCTGTGAGGGACCTCTCAAGAGTACTGAAAAACCACGATGTCAGGCTGGAGACTAAAGTGCGCCTGATCCAGGCTATTGTCTTCACAATTACGTGCTATGCATCAGAGTGTTGGACAGTAAATAGGGATGATAGAAAGATGCCTTTGAGCTGTGGTGCTGAAGAAGAGTGCTGAATATACCATGTACTGCTAGGAGAACAAACAGGTTTGTCCTGGAGAGGGTGAAGCTGGAGGGCTCCTTGGAGTCAAGGATTCTGAAGCTTCGTCTGACATACTTTGGGCATGTTGCAAGGAGGGCTGGTCCTTGCAGAGGGACATCATATTTGGGAGAGTGGAGGGACGGTGCAGGAGAGGAAGACCGTTGATGAGATGGATCGATTCTGTGAGTGGAGCGGTGGAAATGAGTGTGTTTGAGACAGCAAGGTTGGCACAGGCTAGAACGACATTTAGGGCTCTTGTACAGAGGGTCGTTATGAGTTGCAAACGACTCGATGGTACAGCAGAACAAAAACAACAACAATAACTCCTTAGTCACTTTAATTTCATTCTAGAAGAGATCTGACAAAACATTGTAGGAAATCTAGGTCAATTCTTATCTCTCTAGGGAATCAATGAGTCTTGAGAACTATGAAAGGGTTATACAATTCTGCTATTGTACAACAGAAGGCTCAAGAAGTATATTGGTTTAGACTAGGGAAGAGGTAGTGCAGATGCAGTGAAATGAAAAGACTAAGGACAAATTGTGATAGTAAAGCAGATAGCACATTCTAATCACTTTGAGTGCAAGACTGAGGAAAATAGGAATATAAGGTAAATTCCAGGTTTTAGCTTGAATAACTAGAGGGAGAGTTGTATTACGTCCTAAGATGGGAAAGTATGGAAGAATAGATTTGATGAATGTTAAGAGAATTCAAAAGATTGGCTGTTAGAATTTATCCAGCAGTTCTGAGGGAGAAAGACTCCTCTTATAAAGATTATAGCCTATAAATTATAAGGTAGTTCTAATCTATAACACTGAACTGCTATACAGGACTATACTGAACAACAAAAAGAAATAACAAGAGAATCAAAAGTGTTTTTCAGACATTGTAAGTCTGACACACACACACACACACACACACACACACACACACACACACACGAGATGTCAAATGGTCAGCTGGTTACACAGATTTGGAATGTAGGGGAGAAGTCTGACTGGAAACAGAAATCTGGAATTCACAATGTACATATTTAAAATACTGTTAATGGAGCCCTAACAGCACAGTGGCACAAAGAAAAGGCTGGAAGTTCAAAACTACCTGTTCCCTCTGCAGAAAAACATTTGGCAGTCTGCTTCTGTAAAGATTTACAGCTTTGGAAACCCTGTAGGGGCAGCTCTATTATATCCTATACGGTCATTATGAGTCAGAATGAACTTAATGGTAATGAAAACGAAGTTCAGGGGATCAGAGGATGTAGAAATTAAAAAATAAATAAATAAAAATGGTGATCTAGAGCCCAAGCTGTGAGGACTATTCCTATTAAGAGTTCAGCATGATGAAGGCAGGTACCATAAAGGAAAGAAGAGGGAAGAAAGTCGTGTGGGGCAGGATATAAGAAAAAAGAAATGTCTACTAGAAACTGACAGCATGAAAGTCATTGATGACCTTGCCAAGTGCACATTCATTGGAATGGTGAGTTTAGAAATTGAACATGAGAGGACTGAAGAGTGAATGGGATCTGTGAGTAAACAAATGACAACACTTTGTAGATGTGTTGCTACATCATAAACAGAACAGATGGTTTGTATCTAGTGGGGTGGTTTGTTTTAACACAGCAGATATTAGCCATCTCTTTATTAGGGGAGGGGAAATATTAATAAAAGGAGAAAGTGATAACAGCAAGAGTGAAGCAGCAATAAAAATGGGTAGAAACACAGCTTGAAAAAAGAGAGGGCCAGTGAAAGAGAGGAAAACTCAATAAGACTGGACTGATACAAATGACTGCAAATGAAGGCAGGATAGGGAGAGGTTTTAAGGTGTTGTTCATAGGGCTACTATTAGTTGTAATCAACTCAATGGCATCTAAGAACAACAATAAACAAAGGAAGGTCTGAAGATGATGGCTGGAGATAAGAGAGCTTTCTATGTGGCAGTTTTTATTTGAGTTAAGGTCATTAGCAAAAAAGTAAAGAAAGGTAAGTATACAAAAAGAAGGGGTGATATGAAATATTAAAATGCAAAACTCATTAGAAAAATGTAGCGTGAGACCCTATGATAATTTATAACTAGTGATCTAGATATAAAATTTTATCTAATAATGCTTGCATTATTTTTCTGTATTTGTGGAAAAGATGGAGAGTCTCAGCCCAAAATTTAAACAGGGTTGAAATTTAGCAAGGAGAGGTCAAGGTCAAGGGGTGAAGTTATTGAGGGTATTTCTAAGGGAAACATTATAAGGAACCGTGCAATTTACATTGAGTAAGAAGGGAAATGGATACAAAATGAACATGATAGGTGAAGAAGTGATCCATATGGATGCTGTAATCACCAAGGACGAGAGAATTGACAGAGAAGAGAACAGAGTACATAACAGTTTATTTTTTTTAAGGAGTAGATAAGTGGGAGTTCAAACAGACAAAAAGAAAATAAGAACGTGTAGAGAAAAGTATAGATTTCAAAGCAACTAGAGTTATTAAAGGAAAAACAGAAGAGGAATTATTTGGAAGGAGTAAAAAGAAGACTCAATTTACCTCTTGGTCTTCAAGTTGGTGAGTTATGGGATTTTAGGTAATGGACTTTTTTCTTGGGGATGAGATGGACATCCAGTATATTAGGGGCGACAATTCCCAGTGATTAGAGCAGTTTTCTACAGTTTTTGTTGTTGTCAGGTGCTGTTGAGTACGACCCATAGCAATCCTATGACCAACAGATCTGAATCCTCTCCTATCCTGTGCCGTCCTCACACTTCCTAACACACTAGAGCCCAGTCAAAAGTGCCACAATGACCATTACTTTTCCACAGAATGGACTATTTATATCAGAATCACCAAGTTGACTTCTTAAAAATGCAGACTCTCCTTCCTTATCAGATAGAGAGAATGACAATCTCTGAAGGTGAGGCTGGAATTCTGTACTACAAACAAGCACTCCTTATGATTCTCATAAATTCAAAAAGTTTGAGAACCACTGAAATAGAATCACTTTTGAGGAAGTAATATATACAAATCAATTTTACCTTACAATAAATAAAAATTTCATAACTATTTTT